AGGAGTTGGAGGTTGCTGTGAGCTGTAATGCCACGGCACTCTGCCCAGGGGGACAGCTTGAGGCTCTGTCTCAAAAAAAAAAAAAAAAAATTATTCAACATAGGCTCGGCACCTGTAGCACAGTGGTTACAGGCCGAACCAAGGCTGGCAGGTTCAAGCCCGGCCCGGGCCAGCTAAAACAACGACAACTGCAACAAAAAAATTGCGGGGCATTTTGGCGGCGCCTTTAGTCCCAGGCTGAGGCAAGAGAATTGCTTAACCCCAAGAGTTTGAGTTGCTGTGAGGTTGGGTGACATTGTGAGACTCTGTCTCTAAATAATAAAAATAAATTATTCAACATAATTGTATTTTCAGCTTATATCAACTATTGTAGACAATGGCTGCCATTAATAAAGATTCTTTTTCTAATTTTCTGAAAATTTTCTTAGGCAATTTTTCTAACATATAGTACAGTTGAAAAAATTATACAGTGATCACCCACACACCCACCACATACATTTTATAATTTTTGTCTTCTTCACATGTAAGGAATTTGTTCATTTGTGTGCCCCTCACCACAATCACTCCAGACTCCTGTTGAATGAATAAAGATTCTTTTTATTCATTCAAAATGTATTTGTTTCTTGATTCCCTCTAGGGTTTAATGCAGTATAGAATAATCTTTACTCACAGCCCAGATGACAGAAGAGGAACCCTTACAGAGCTTACTATGTGCCAAGCAGCCACTGTCCTGAACGCTTTACAGCCTCATAGTGCAAAGAATAAGAACTCTGGAATGCCCTTCAGAACCCCGGATTCCTTATAGGTAAAAATAGTACAGAGACACCTGCCTCATAGAACCACATGGGGATTAAATAGTATATAAAAAATAACTAGGCTCGGGGCCTGTGGCTCAAGTGGCTAAGGCGCTAGCCACATACACCTAAGGTGGCGGGCTCGAATCCAGCCTGGGCCCGCCAAAACAACAATGATAGCTGCAACCAAAAAATAGACAGGTGTTGTGGCGGGCACCTGTGGTCCGAGCTACTTGAGAAACTGAGGCAGGAAACTCGCTTGAGCCCAGAAGTTGGAGGCTGCTGTGAGCTGTGATGCCATGGCACTCTACCCAGGGTGACAGCTTGAGGCTCTGTCTCAAAAAAGAAAAGATTTCCAACATGGCAGCACCCGTAGCTCAGTGGGTAGGGCAGAGGCCACAAACACCAGGGCTGCCCCAGCCTGCTAAAAACAAAAAAATAGTTAGGCATTGTGGTGGGCACCTGTAATCCCAGCTACTTGGGAGCCTGAGACAACAGAATCACTTAAGCCCAAGAGTTTGAGGTTGCTGTGAACTATGACACTATGGCACTCTACAAAGGGCAACATAGTGAGACTGTCTCAAAAAATAATAATAATAAATAAGACCAATACAGAGACTACTTTGTGTGAATTGATATTAATAGGGCAGCACCTGTGGCTCAGTGAGTAGGGCACCGGCCCCATATACCAGGGTTTGAAGCCTGCCCCGGCCAAAGGCAACCAAAACATAACCAGGCATTGTGGAAGGCGCCTGTAGTCCCAGCTACTCAGGAGGCTGAGGCAATAGAATTGCTTTAAGCCCAAGAGTTGGAGATTGCCGTGAGCTATGACATCAAGCGCTCTACTGAGGGTGACCTAGTGAGATTCTCAAAAAACAAAAAAATGTTATACGTTAATATGAGCTTAGGGAAGTAAAAAAGACCTTTACCAAAGGACTTCCGCAAAATTTTCTGGGAGTCTAAATATTTTCGTACTTCAGGGATAGGAAAATGTCTGCCTTGTAGTAATCTTTCAGTAAATATATATAAATAAATTTCAATAATATTTTATAATATAATTTTAAGTAAATCATCTGAATTTAATAATTAATCAAATTAATTTTGTGTGTGTTTTTTTTCGAGTCTCACTAAATCATCCTTGGTAGAGTGCTGTGGCATCACAGCTCACAGCAACCTCAAATCTTGGGCTTACTAGATCCTCTTGCCTGGGTCTCCCAAGTAGCTGGGACTACCTGCCATAATGCCCAGCTATTTTTTTTTTTGTTGTAGTTGTTATTGTTGTTTGGTGGGCCTGGACTGAATTCAAATCCACTGGCTCCAGTGTATGTGGCTGGCACCCCAGGCACTGAGCTACAGGCGCAGAGCCTAATTTTGTTTTTAAATTATTCATTTGGTTTTTCATTTTAAGTTTTATACATGCTATAGAATAATCACAGGTTAGACAAGTCTACCCCATTCTACCTATAATCAGAATCACTTCAAGGGGTGAAATTCCGTAGTAAGATATATAATAACGCAGGTGCCCAATCTATGTCCCCTAAAGCTTGTAAAATTACAGGCTTCTCCCTGTCTTTTTCTTCTAATGCATGTTTTATTTTACAGGATCAGGATGGATGATAACAAATTTGCTGGGGAGCTTAAGAGAATTCCTAGAACGTCATCAAATTCGTTCATTTGAATCTCTTGAAATCTGGTACAAACCCAATAATTAAAATCTTAGGAACGTCCCTAAATTGAGGTCACATGTGCTTACCTAGAAAGCACTTCTACACATTATTGGAATCTTTCTGTCTTAAATGTATATACAAAGACAATCTGAAAGTATCGCTATTTTGGCTGGGTGACGTGGCTCACACCTGTAATTCTAGCACTCTGGGAGGCCAAGGTGGGTGGTTTACTTGAGCTCACAAGTTCAAGACCAGTCTGAGCAAAAAGCAAGATGCTGTCTCTACTAAAAATAAAAAGACTAAGGCAAGAGGATCGCTTGAGCCCAAGAGTTGGAGGTTGTTGTGAACTATGACTTCATGGCACTCTACCGAGGGTGACTCTGTCTCAAAAAAAAAAAAAAGTATTGCTATTCAGAAACATGTTTCAAATATTTATTTTACACATCATCATCTATAACTTCTCCCCATGGCCTTCTCTCTGTGGGTGTTATTTTTCAATTGGCTTTGGGGGATTATTTGGTCTTCATCTCCCCCCCCCC